TTAATTTTCGAATAATTTTAAGTCCTTTAAGAATAAAGCATAAACTATTTTTAAATATTAATGAAAAAATAAAATGACGCGATAGTCCAAAATATCTATATATCTATGCATGAGTTTGATCATCTTCCACAAAGTCTGCTGCTTCTTCTCTCGTTACACATTCAACGTGCGAAACCTTGTTTCTAAATTTCACTCCATAAAATTTGTTGGCGTGTTGCAACAATTCTGGTCTATGTAAAGAAAATTGTACGATATTGTTAAAGTTATAAAGGACAAATACACTGAATACATTTTTTTAAATTCATATAACATTATCTATATGCAAATCATGCAAACATAAGTAATTTTAATTCCAATTTAAAATTGGCATTGCTGTTTACCTGAAAGTAGTCGTAATAAATTGAGCGTCTGAGCTTAGTTCGTGAATCATATCGGCAACAGCTTTTCTATGTTGTGCATCGAGGGCTTGATCGATTTCGTCGAATAAATAAAATGGCGCCGGATCACACTTTTGAATTGCAAAGATATTTGCTAAGGCTACGAGGGACTTTTGCCCACCAGACAATTGATTCATTTCTCGCATTTCACCTTTGTGACCTGTAAATGAAACTCTAATGCCTGCAAAATACATAAAATACAAATTTAAAAATTTAATTAGGATATTTCAGCACGTGAGATAACTGTTATGTAAATAATTTTTAATAGACATTTCTTACATACCGACACCGATAAACCGATCAGAATCTGCTGTTTCAGGTACAGTATCGTCATTATCTTCACCATCAGCTGTTTTCATAACCAACTGTGCGCTACCCGATGGTACAAGTTTCTTGAAGACTTCGGAAAAATATTTACTTACCTAGAATAAGATTTAATACAAAAGACTGTCACTTTAGCAGACGCGATATGAAAATAAAAATAAAACGTCGTTAAGTAATTTTTACTTGTTTGAAGGTAAACTGAATAGCTTCGCATTTCCTTTGTTCAAGAACGGACATTAGCTCCTTAATTTTTTCATCTGCTCTATCTAATTCTTCTTTTCGCTTTACTAATTTTTCCTTTTGTTCACTAAATGACATAAATTGATCCAAGGCTTTTTTATTAACATGACTAGAAGAAAAGTAATTTATTGTAAAGCAGTTTGTAATTAGTCGATTCGTTATTTTTATCATTTATTATATATGAGGAAGTTGAAACGTAATTATAATATACCTATATTTTTTTAAATGACTATTAGCTTCTTCCATTTTTTTAAATAATTGTTTGGTTGTCATGTTACTAAATTTTGAGTACGACTCTTTATTAGGAAGAGCGCCTAATTCGGTTATTTTTTGCGTACACTCCGTTATATTTTGTTGAAGCATATTCATCTTACTGGCTAATTTCTCCAAGTATTTAGCATCGGATTCCATTTTCTCCTGTGCTTCTTTCTCAATTGCCTTCCATTTTTCAACCTCCAAAGCTTCTGCCTTTTGCTACATAAATGTCAATCAAAACATTATTGTCAATAATCTACGAGTCATAATTAATTTAACAAGACATTAAGAATTTACTTTTTTCGCTGCAGCAGCGACTTTTTCATTTTGTGATTTAAATTCCGATTGATTTTTCAGCAATCTCTTTTCAATGTCCGATAATTGAGTTTTCGATGTATCCAATAAACGTTGACGGTCTTCTACCGTAATTTCTTGCAGTGCCTGCACTAATTCGTCTTTTCTACGTACTAAATTGTTAGTTAGCAAATTTTCTAATTTATTCTTCTCGGCTTCTAATTTCATTCTCTTTACGAACGCTTCTTTATTTTCTTTTGTTAAGCGCCTAATAGCATCATTCAATTGATCAACCTAAAGTGCAAAGTATGGTTCAATTAGATAAAAAATATTAATTCATATTTATACATGAAGAAGTATAGTGAATAATTTTTTAACGGACCGTGAGGTTGAACAGAAATATTTAGAGATTTTAATAATGCAAGTTTTTGCGAGCATTGAAGTGGCAATTGTCGTCATTTAGTTAGTATAAATAATGAGATTATTAAATTAATAAAATTAGCGATCGTCAGTTATAGGTAAGTGGCAATTTTTATAAATCACGCGAAAACGAATAGATAAAATTTCAAATTCTGAATTAAAATTAACTTAAAATGCTTTAGAAAATGGTGAAAATCAAAGAGACAATCATGTAGATATTAATTAAACAATAATTATAATGGTTATACCTGGTGCTGATCAGCAACGGAAAGTTGTTCCATTAAATCTTGATGAAGTTCACTTTCTAAACCTTCTTTTGTAGCATACATGGCTTCCAAACTTGATTTGCACTGTTGTAAACTTTTTTCTTTTGGTACTTTGTACCTTTCGATTGCACTAAGTTCTTCTTTCATTATACGTATTTCACCTTTCATTTTATCAAATATATCTCTATAACAATAGGGCAATCGTTGAAATTTAACATAAATTTGAGATAAATGCATAAGTGACAAATTAAAAACTTACCTGGCTTTACTATTTTTTGTTTCAGTACGTTGCATTTCACTTACATACGAGCTAATATTACGATCGGCATTTTTTATTTCTTCTTTTAAATTTGTTAATTGGGTTTCCAATGAGTTAATTTGAGCCATTAATTCCGACCTGTTCTTTTGTATTTCCAATCGAGATCTTAATGTATTGAAATAACCACCCGTTAATGAACCTTTAGATGATACTTGATCTCCTTCTAGAGTCACACAATCAAGACCAGACGTACGTGCGAGACTTGTCGCAGCTTCCAAATTACGACATATAAGAGTTTTTCCAAAAATATACCTAAATTAATCAAGAATAACATCAATTATAATAAACGAAATGAATAAATAATAAAAAAAACGTTTTCTAAAAGTTACAATACCTTAAGGCTTTGTCATATTTGTCATCGTAGTTTAATTTTGATATCATTGGTATAGCATCCGGAGTTTGTGGATAATCGATAGTTTTTACGTGTAAGCGATTTAAAGGCATAAATGTCACTTCACCCGGTAAACGTTGATTATTCATTTCTTTTAAAATTTTGGTGCCAAATTTATCTGTTTCCACTATGTGATGGAAGAGGCGGTTGCCAGCCGTCACTTCAACAGCCATGTACACACTTTTATCGCAGTCAAAATTTTCAATCACTGGACCATAATAGCTACTTACTTCTTTTGCCATATCTGGACGATCTCTGTAAGCATTAAATATTCATTGTGCACTTTTTCTATAAAATTTATTTTATAAAATTGTTTAATAACAATGTACAAACAAAATGTTAAACTCATAATTCTTATGTGAATAATAATTAATTCCTATTCACCTAAAAGTATCAAGCACTTTACGAACACTGTCTCTACCATTAAGAATAGGTTTACCAGCCATAGATCTAAGGCTTTGATCAGCTTTCGCTAAATCTTCCTTTAAACCTGATAAATTAAGTTGTAGAATACTTTCCTGTCGATACCTGCGCAAGGCAAATTTCAGTTCATTAAAGACTTTATTCTGAAAAAATATTCGTTTTCTCAATGTAATACATACTGTTCTTTACGTGTGGCCTGACATTGGTCCTTTGATTTATTTAGATCATAATATTGTTTATTATGCTCGTCTATAGAAGCTTTTTGGCATTCCATTTCTCGAGTGTACTCTTGAATTTTCTTTTCTAAGGACGCACGTTTTTCCTCGTCTTTTTTCAAATCTTCGGTAATTTTCTTTTCGTGTTCTTCTTTATCTTTTATCTGCTTATTTAGTTGTTTTAATTCTTGCTGTATCCAATTATCTCTTTCCGCCTGTTAACACATATTAATTTATACTTATTTTACTGTAATATATATTGTGACCAAAAAAATTACGTACAACTTATTTATTTTAACATTTTTTTCCACACTTTTAAAATCATGTTAAATTTTAAACGAATATACCTTTGTAGTGAACTGACTTCCTCTTCCTTGTTTAGCATACAATTCTTTACGTTTCTGCTCCTTTAACGCTAATTCTCTTGTTATTTCTTCTTCTTTCCTTTTCATTTCTTCATACTTAAAAATATTATTACATATATTAATATATTATATATATATATATATATATATATATATATATATATATATGTATGTATATTTAAATATTATTTTCTCAAGTAAATAAAATATATTACTTGTGGCTTTATGTTTTCTAATTCAGCTTCCTTTGCAGCAATTTGACTTCTTAACTTTTCTAATTCTTCTTCAGCTCGTTTGCGACTATCATTATCCCCTCTAACTTCTTCCATTAAGTCATTTATCGTAAAGGTAAGCTTCGTCTTTTCTTTCAAAAGTTGTTGTTGTTCAGCACTAAATATTATTATTTATGATTTAATGAATATATTGATTATGAATTTGAAATTCTCTATTCTGACTTTACCTAAGTGTATCTCGTTCTTCTTTAGCGGTTTGTGCCTCTTTCTTAGCTTCTTTATGCCTTTTTGTAGCTAACTTTACTTTTTCTTGAGCAGTTTTTACTTCGGCTGTTAAACTTGCCTGTTCTTGACCACTTTTTGCTCGAGAATCTTCCAACTCTTCAAGCTTGCGCTTATTTTCTTTTAATTCACGTTCATGAATAATATACTCTAAACTTCTTCTCTGCTTATCCCATTTTTGATATTCTTTAAGCTCCTCTTTTTCTTCCCTTAAAGTTTGTAATCTTTCCTCTTTAATATACAAACATTGTAAATAATTGCAAATTCTTTTGAAATAATATATTTGGGTAAATTTATATTATTTTTATATGTATATATTTTTTTGTTTACCTATTGTACGTAGAAAATCTTGAATTTTTTCAAGTTTTCCTTCTGTTTCTTTAAGTATAGATTTTGATTCTTCTCTTCTATCATCGTAAACTCTTGTACCAGCCACCTCGCGCAATAATTTTAATCGTTGAGAATCAGGTGCAGTTGCCATTTGATTGATCTAAAATTCAAAAATAATTAAATAAAATATAATATAAATGATAAAAGAAAATAAATATTTAAATTATATTTACTTTTCCTTGTTTAACGATATAATAAGGATTTGATCTAGAAAATCCAGCAGATTCTAAAAGATTCATTACATCGCTTCTTGTTACAATTTTCTTATTAAGGAAATATTGATCTTTTTTGGAACCAATAACTCTTCTCAGATATACTTCGTCCTTATCAATCTACAATAATAAATGATAATCTATAGGCTAATGCTTTTATAAGCTAAACACAGTATATATTAATATTATCTTTTTCTTACAGGCAACCTTCCATCTGAATTATCAAAGATGATTTCTACATGAGCAGAAATCACCCTGGGTCCAGTTCCTTCATGAAGAAGCCCTTGACGCTGTTCTGGTCGTAAGTGAGAAAATTCATCGCTTAAAACAAATTGTATAGCGTAGAAGAAATTACTTTTTCCTGATCCATTTCTACCAACTATAAAATGAATTCTTATAAAATAATTTGCATTTGAGGGCATACGAAATATTGTAATAATTTAATAGTTTGTTAGAAATTTTAATTACTTACCAACTACATTATGCCTTGGATCAAAAGGCTCTACTACTGTTTGTTCTCTATATGATTTGAAGCCTTGAATAATAACCTTAAAAATGTATACATAATTTTATTCGTTAAATATAAAATTGATTATATTAAATAATTATGAGATTCAAAATTCTCATTAAATCTAAAATGTACGTCTAATTAATGAAATAAATCAGAATGTTATGCAATTAAATAGAGTCAAAATACAACGTTTAGGTTAGTTTCGAACTTCTGAAACATTTAGATTATTTTAAGGAAGTACATTATAATAAATTTTAAATTATTCTTTTATTAATATAAATTAATTATATTATAAAGAATATGCAAACGAATTATTACCAATAATAATAATGTAATTATTATTGTACAGTTTGCATTCTAATTTTTGAAATATCATTTAAAATCATTGATAAAGCATTTAAGAATGACAGGTAAATGTATGTAGCGAACGATAATTAATAGTAAAAATTCAATTTTTAAAGACAAAATAGTCGGAATTTATTAACCGTTACAAAAAGGGAATAGAAATGTTTATCTGTTACAAATGACATAATAATTAATCACTATACAAATGCAAAAAAATACCTGCTTAATGTACATGTTTTACTTCTAAGTAATCACATAAACATTGTTTACGCATCCGTCTTGGAATTCTCGACGAGTTAATAAACAATTACTTTATTTACTTATGTACGAAAAGAAACATCACCGAGAACCGCCATTTCCAAGAATTATGATGCTGGCCAGCGCAGTGATACCAACTTAAAGAAATATATCGAATATTCTCCATTGAATCCTCCTAGATTTCGGCGGGAGAATATTCGCTCATAGTCATAGGAAATTTTTTTAAGCGGAAGAATGAAAATCTTAAAGCCTCGATAGATCTTACGAATTTTATGAAGATTATAAAACTAAAATGCAATGCATGTATTATGGCTTAAACAATATAATAATGAAATATAATTGATATATTATTAAATTTATTGCTGTTACAGGTTTCTTTTTTTTTTTTTTTTAACAATTAAAGACATTTTAAAGACAATGGTTGAAGCTTTCATTCAATGTCATTTTTATTTCATCATATATTATTTAATATCAATCCCTAATGATCGTTAAGAATTTATTCATTTCGGTTTCAGAATTCATTGTCAATGGACTTGATCAGCGTCATGATCTATTAACCAAATATATTAAAAGAACATGACATTATCGAAACTTAACTCGCTATTCTTGAAATAAATGAGAATCGCGATGAACGCGGCTACAGCATCAGAGATCCAGGGAATCTCCAACAGCATTCGAAGTGTAAATGTAGTTACGTTGAAGTTAGCCGGTCGAAGCGGTTCATTATTTTCTTGCGATAAAAAGAGCTTGAGAAGTTGCACCGCAGGAGTTCTTTTCCGATGCACAGTTACGGAATTGCAACCAAGTCTCCGGAGCCAAATAAATACAAGGATTTTCACGAGCGTGGGAATGAATTGTAGAGGAGACTCGTAAGTGCCAGAGAAAAGAAGACAAAACATCGCTTAATTGAGCAACAGGATCAACTTGGTTGAGTTATCCTTTACTATCCTATCCTTAACCGAGATCACAATTTGTACATTAAGTATGATATGCGTTATTCATTCCAAATTGCAAATTTGTTAATTCTGATTGAATGTATCAGTCGAATATGTCAGATCTTAACATAAGAGATTGTTGTATTAAAACTCCTTTTTATTCGCTTCAAATGAAAACATCGCTCGCACGTTAGGATAGGCTTAGGAAAATCTGTTATGAAAAAATAGTACCCCAATTTCATTATTAGGCCAAGGAATTAATTCGTTTAAACATGTTAATTTATAATGCAATTTAATATATTAATAAAAAGCTTTAGATTATCAATTTAATGAAAAGATTTGTAGACATCAATAGTATCATTACTATTATTGATAAAAAAAATAACTTATCGCGTGCATTGTATTATCCGTTACTCTTAAATGAAACGATACTGTTTGATTTAATCGCATTGTAGAGTTAAATTATAGTAAATGAATAATGCCATTAATTATATACATGTATAAAGTAAATAAAAATAATTTAAAGAAATTTGAATTTACAATACGAATTTAATAATTATGAATTAAAGCTATGAAAAATGAATTAACATAGATGTTTGATATCTTGGAATTTTACCATAATATAAATCATTATGCTTAGTAATATTGTTAATAATCTAAAGAAATATAAACTCGGTAGTTTTATTAAATATCATGGCGTGCAGAATGACAATAAAATGTTAGTTTAAAATAATAAAGGAAATATTATTTTTAACTTTTATAATGATTAGATACGTGTTTTTGTCGGTACATGAATTTAAAATTACACAAAAATTGATAATAAAGTATTTTCAATTATTAAGACAAGTTATATAAACATTAGATGTAATCCTTTTAAAAATAACATGAAACATAAACTTTGAAAGCTGAAATTTAAATTAAGCATTAATTTTTTTACAACTACTTATTGACTTACTGTTAACATAAATAGGAACAATAATGTTAAAAAACAAATGCAATTGAGTTAAAACATCATTTATTCTCTACTCATTTTTGTATACATTATAATTTAAAAAAATACTCTGTGAGGAAGAATTATCTAATGAATTGTGAATCTACGTATAAATTTTCACAATACAAGTTCTCTTTCATTTGTTTATACAAAAAAGTTCATTAGACTAATCAAATAGACGTAACTTTGACTCATAAAAATGGAATAATTTATTATTTTTAACAAATATTCAAATAGTTTATGAATCTTTTTAAAATACTTCAAAAATGTAATTTATATAACAGTAAATTCGATCAGAGTCCATTAAATTTATCTTTTGTAAGTCTTATGCCATAAAATTTTTTAGTTATAATTTATAATACAAATACAATTTATAGAGATAATATATAAATTTAATAAAAACTTCCAATACTTCGGTTTATTAATTGTTACCGATTTCTTCTTGTTTTTTTTTTTTTTTTTTTACAGTTTTCACGATAACAAAATGGAAGTATAGATACTATTTAATTATGTGACAATGTGACTATTTGTTTACACCTTTTTACCTTTTTTTCTGACCTTTAAACATATACCCAGTTAAAAATAATTATAATCCTATTGATAAAACAGCAAATACTAATAGGACTGTAGCAAAATACAACAATATAAATGATTACAAATATAATAAAGGTAATAAACTAACTGTCTGCACATTTAACACATTTAAATAACATCTTTAAAATATTGTATTTGTTAAAATACTTGTAAAGAATAAAATATTTAAATAAAATTATTTACATTCAATAAAAATTATAAACATATAAAAATTTTGCTAATTTTTAAAGTAATTTTGTATTGTGTAATTAATACTAATTAGAAAAGAAAATAATAAAGTATTAGAATAAACATATGATATTTGTACATCTAACTTTGAAAACAAGAAAAAACTTGTTTTTCATAAATGCTTTGCGGTTTCCTGCTTTTTAAAAATATTAAGTATGTGTTATCTGTCTTCATTGTCATAGAGTATTTTGCAGTTGTTTTTATGGATCCAATATTGCTCTTTACTTTGAATTGTTGTATTGATCATCATCTTTTACTTTTGAAACAAGTTCACCGTGAGTACACCATACTTTTGCCGCCGACCTTTAATAAAAAAAAAAAACAAAAAAAAAAACAAAAACAAAAACAAAAAAAAATTTGATGCACGATAAAATAAATATATATTGTAAAATAAATCTACGTTAAAATGTTAACAATTAAATTTCACACTTTTAAAATATATTAACCTTAAGCATTTTGTTGGCATTTGATATACTTGATACCATAATAAAATAGCTAAAAATAAACTCCAAGTCCTTAATGGACAGAAAATTGTAGCAACTGTTCCATAAGCCAGCCAAAAGAAATAGATCATAGTAGCTTGTAATGTGACCAATAATACAAATGGAAAGTGCTCGCAAAGTCTTAATAACAAAGCGGCTGATTTTATCGGGGGTTTTTCTATTAAATGTAATCTGTACAAATAATATAATTCATCTTTATTAATATAATAAAAGTGGATAATATTTAAGATAATTTATTAATATAAATACTTTACCGTTGACTAACGCGATGTGCTATAATAAGTGTTAATGGAAGATGGAAGGATAGTAATTGAAAGAAGCCATATGCATAAGTGAACGATCCAGGTAGGAACGAACTTCCAATGAACGTTCCCCACGCAAATATAACACCCGTGTGATTGTCGATTATTTCACCTATAGTCCATGGACCTATTTTATTGCATAACAAAAAATCATTTATGCAACATTTGTTTGAACGGTGCTTTTAGTAAAATTTCATTATACAGTAGAGCATCTAACTTTTTTGATATTTTATTGATATAATAAAATCAGCATTCAATACGAAATTATTATCTAATTTTGTATTAAATTCTTTTGCATATATTTATAAGAATAGGTAGTTCCATGAAATTTCTTTAAATAAGACATTCCAGTGAGAAAAATATAATAATAATGACAAAGTGAAATAAATTTTTATTTTTATAGTACTAGACTTTGTATCGACTTACCAACGATCAAGTATGCAGCGTATAAAACCAGTGGAAAGAATAATCGATCAACGGTGGATAAAATCCAGTGACCTCTAAGCCACCAATGGAATAATTTGCAATTTATTCGTGGTACACCACGATTTTTATCGTACACAGCTTTGAATAGAAAATTACACATTTCAATAAGAATTAACGATTACTGATATATATATATAATAATAATAATAATAAATTGAGTACGAATTTGAGGTACTTACATCGATAAGTATTATGATAAATACGTAAGCTACATAAAGGTATGATCAGGAGAATAAATAGTGTTGCAAATAAAAACTGAAACTAAAAATATTTATTGTGTAAAAATGCGAATAGATCGGGAAACTTCGACGCAGCATGTGTTTTATAAAATGTTTATTTGTACTCACTATTCGACTAACATTAGACATAAGTACAATTCTTGATAAAATACCAAACGATAATCTGCTTCCATCTAAGGAAAACGCTTGCGTTACAATTTTCATCCTTCCATCAATATCTGTAACTTGCAACTGGAAATTTATAATGTAAGCTAACGAACAATGACATTAATAAACAGAAATTCTCCAATAATATAATACTTTATATTACCTGAATATAATGAATACCAGTCGAATAATTTAAAGGATTCCATTTTGCAACGTACAGAGGACCTTTGATGCGTACACACGTTATCCAATTTTTATCGTTTATTCGCACCTTCACAGACTTTATATCTACAATTGAGAAAGCCAGAGCTCTGGAAAAAAAAAATTATAATGGTTAATATAAAAAAAATTGTTTCCCTCAATTTTTTCACTTTCGGATATGTCATTTCTTAATTTCAATGAATGTAAAGGATGTATTTTAAATATCAAATTAACGTCTACCTAAATGTCTTCAATTGCTTGAAATTTCTAATAATTGCTATTACCATGTTTTTTAAAATATGAAATAAAAACGTTTATCATATATATCCAGTGATCGAAAGTTTTATTATTTAAAGTTTTCGATGATGATAACATTGATATGATATTGTATAATAAAAGGATAATCGTATTAAATATTGCCAAGCTATTATTGCTATTTTAGCCTTTCTTATTATCGTAATAATATCGATCAATTTACTTTATACCTTATGTGTGTTGAATGGATGATTGACTCTATGTTCTCTTTATGCGGCATTGCAAATTGTGCATTTTTTGGATTAGTGACTAGTGCGACTGGCCAGTCGCGATGTTCTATGTCGGTGAAGGAAAATTGTCCGTGATCAATGACACCGAGCCTGTACCTGTTAATTACATTTCGAGTAAATACCAAGAGATTTGTTAAATGACGACGAATAACAATTCACATCAATGGCTCCATTGGTTTTACAAATATTTACAATTATTCTTAATCTACATTACGTTTGAACGACAACATAATTATGTGATTATAAAATTAACATTTTCGTAAAAGTAAAAAATCTATTTATACGAACTATTATAGCATTGCGCGCGCGCATGTGTGTGCGTGCGTGCGTATTATGCTTGCAAAATAAGATTGTCTCAATAAGAGTATAATAAAAATTAATAAATGAACAACCCAATACTTCTTACGCGAAGGCGTCCGTGAAATTTCATTGCACAATGCCTCTTTGTTCCTCAAAATTTCAAATGCCAATTAAAAAGCGTTTAATTATTTAATTCATTCGAAGATACACACAGATACTTAAAAGGATTAATTTAAACATTATTACTATGAAATGTTTGATGAAATGTTCCAGTAATTAACTGTTGCGCGTGAATTACTTTCAAGAAAATAGATGAAATGTCAAGGACTTGATACAAGATGTTTGCAATTTATGACAAAGGAAAATAAGAATGAGTATAATTGCATAAAATCAGGTTTAGTATCTGATAATATAAACATCATTCTTCGATTTTCATGACATTCATAATTAAAATATTGTGCTTGAAAAACCATTGGGCATTACATAGTATTGCATATACATTCTTTTTTTTTTTTTTTTGCGGATGAATAATGATATTAACTGTAACACTTACATTCTATTATCTTTCCAATCAGCTAATTCCAGTTCAAGGAAGCCAGTCTTTTGTAAAGTATACATATTAGGGACGACACCGGCAAGTGTGTGAAAGTGGCCACACAAATACGTCAAGCTTTCCTCGTATTTACCTGTTATACTTTGGAAAATTAGTGTACGCTTTCATTATCGAATTATTGAGAATTATTAGCAACAGAATTTATGAACTTAATTTTTAATAAAAAACATTTCGTTGTTTGTGTTTATTACTTAGGGTGCTTTTTATTTATTATAATTATATTTCATAAGTAACAATGAAAAATTGCCTTGCGTCTAATGTAGTTGTCAATGAATTTTCAAAAGATTTATTTTCTATGTAAATTCATACATTTCATATTAAAAAGTTCAAATTAATATATAAATATATTAATAAATTAATTTTTACATTGCACAGTATAGATGATTGGCTATATATAAAAAAAAAAAAAAAAAAAAAATTAAAAGACAATGCGGCAGTCTTTGTTAATTATTGACTATAATAGTATGTGCATTTTTCAATTTTTCTTTTCTTTTAAATTAAAACGAACAAATATTTTTATCTTTTTCTTAAATTTTCAATGTATTAATTACATTCTAATATATTACACTTATATAATATGAAATATTATAAATTAAATAAAATTATATTTCATTTCCTTTTAATAATGGAATAACTTGAATAAGTATTTTTTTTTTTTTTTTTTTTTGTTAATTCTAATTTAATCACAAAATATTTCTATAAACTATAAAATATTTATATAAATATAAACACAAAGTATAATCGGATTTTTAAAAATGTTGTTCAAGAACTTACAAAACCCATAAGAGCTAAAATACATTAAAATTTTCTTATATATCTTACAACAAAAATATAATGCAAATATTAAATAGAATTGTATAAAGTTGTGGTCTATATTTTCCAGAGACGGCAGTTTATAAATTTATTCAAAATTTAGAACGTAGACACAGGTAGTAGGAAAGCAACAGCTAAGACATTTACGTGAACTTTTGCATTGAATTAATGCTGAATTGCTACACACATACACGCGCGCGCGCACGCACATACACTCACAGACGTATATATATATATATATGCTTGATGAACTATTTGTATTTAGACTCAACCAACTTGTTGCTTTAATTTCATGTTCATTTGATGAATAAAACATGTGATTTTTTTTTTTAAAAAATTGTAATTTGAACAATTGATAATTTGAAGTTATTAACGATCGTTTGACAAGATGAACGATTGGTTATCGTGCGAAATAATAATTAGGCTAATTATAGTCAAATTTGTATTACGCCTCAAATTATTAGGATTGAAATTCGAGTAATTATGCACTGAGGCTAATAAATATTACATTCATTTGTAATATTCATAAATCATATCTTGCCATAAGAGCGTTTGAATAATACTTATTTTTAACCATAAAAGCGTCGACCTGTAAAGATCTATAATTTAAAAGAGAAAGTATAAAGTATGCTTTAGTTAAGATAGTGGTTAAGCATAAGTCTCTATCGCCACTTTAATAGCCAACCTATCGACATACATCAGGCACGAACAATTTTGTCGGCCATAAATACATAAATTGAATGGAAATGGGAAAAATTCGATGGACATACCTATAATCATCCTGATGCCACCGTCGTTGGGTGCGACGATGCACGATGTCGGATAATGCCCAAACCATATGATGTAGTCGGCTTGGCTCGACCTTGATTCGTTCATTAAACTTTCCAACCGATCGATCTCAAGATTATCCAGGGCCCCGACAAAATTAAAGGGCCTCTTGGGCCCGGGCTTTAGGCACGCGTCCACCGCTATAAAAGTATACTTGTCCAAACCGAGGTGCACCTGGTGCATATAGGACCGTGGGTGCTTACGGCCTTGCATCGAGTAGTTGGTGTAGTAGTTGTCCTTTGAATTTGTGTCGAAGATGTTGAAGTTGTCTGTGTACACGATGTCGATCGTTAGGGTCTTCGACGTAATAATAAGAATAAGCGATGTTATTCAGTATTTTGCGAGCTAGTATACGTTGGCCTATACATAATGTTTTAGCGTCTTGCATAGTAATTAATTGCGGATTATTACCTTCGCGACTATTCTCATGTGCTAGAAAAATGGCGCTAAGTTAATCGGGAAATTTTAATGAAATAGTCAAGAAATATTCGCACCTATATTTTTACGTATATTTCGTGAACATCGAGCCACGTCTCTTAAATAAATATTTTTACGCGATATATTTTCATTGAAATTCCTTAATTTTCTGACAAAGAATTAAGAGACGAAGAGAGAGAGAGAGAGAGAGAGAGAGAGAGAGAGAGAGAGAGAGAGAGAGAGAGTAATTGCGTTATTATTATATTAAAATTTTGACAAATTTTGTAAATTACGTTAAAATAGCACAACGAAAGATCGATGAATTCTCATTGCTTTTAACAGTGCAAAGAAATTTTGTTGGGGAAAAAAGTTAATAAGACATGTACATCCTTACCATGATTGCCTCGTACGTCCAGCCATGTTGTTTTCTCGGCAACTTTAGAATCATCAAGGACTTTTTTATATTGCTTCCACTCTTCTAAATATTGTCGTGAACCCATTTTGTCCACTGTTTTGGCATCCGTTAAATCTCCTACATATTTTATTTATTAAATGTAAAGTGCATTTAAAAGTTGACAGAATGTATTTATATTTGATTCGATATAATATAATGGAATTAAGTCATTTCGTTTGCGTTGCTATTTGTGCTTCTAAGTAATATTCTAAAATAGGATGAAGCAAATTCTTATGGTAAATAAAAGTAAATAATTTTTAACAAAATTTCGCTAATTAACATTAAATTAATGTCATCGTATCAAGCAATTGCAATAAATTTTTACGAGCCTATTTCACATTGAAACGAACAAACAATTTTTGTTTCTCCACCATTGTCATTAGCATAAATAATTGGAAAATTTTGAAAAATATATGTTACCAGATGCAAGAACAACTTCCGGATTTATAGAACCAACTGTTATATCGCAAAACTCTTTGAATTCCGTTATCCTAAGAGGGTCCTGAAAGATACTTATGTGCAAGTCCGTTATCTGGCAAACAGAAAATATTCAATGTCCGATTATTTTTCAATAGGGAATGTAATAATGACGTTGGCGAGAGATGGACAGAATCATTACTCACTTGTAAAAACCATACCAAATGCTCGTAGGAGTCATGAATCTCAAATTTTTTGGGCTCAAACCATCTTGATTTTAACTTAGTTACGTCCTCAATATCTTTGACTTTGTCAAGGGTATGTGAATCTACGTCGATTATATTGGCGACATTGGCGACGAATATCGATAGCATTAATACGAACATAAGAATCGACAGTGTTAACTTTGTGATTTTCATTTCCTGAATTTGACTTAATTTACAAATAACCATGTATCTGCGACTGAAAGTAAATCATTTTTAGTGCTAAAGTTACACACGCACACTCGCACACACACGCGCACTAACACACATACACATGCATTTATATTAACAAACAACAATTAAGGGTTCAATTTTCAAAATTCGCCTCGCACCACTATTAATAAGCATGACATTTAAATAATATATAAATAATTTGTTTTTTTACACACGATATACAAGCTTAATGTAAAACAACAATTTATATACAAAATTAATATGATTGTTATTCAATAATTTTGAAACAAATTCCTATCTTTCGTAATAGTGGAAACGTAAAATTTCTTAATATACAATTAAGTAATTAATTTTGTTATTAAGTTTACTTACTTCGCTTTTTCCAACTTCAGTCTCATTAGATTATTTAATTTTACAACGATATTTCCATGCAAAAATAACAACAAAAAAGCATAATGCTCCAATTCAATTAATCTACTATGCAACTTTGCTACCTTCCGATATCTTATTATTTGATCGAATTTAATCTGTCGATTAAATAAATAATTTGTCAAATATCTTATTATATCAAATAATTAATGAATATTATCTTTAGAATTAACGTCTTTTTTATTGATGTCAGATATTCCTATTTTTAAAGTAATTTCGTCAAAAAAAAAAATTTTCATAGATAAAATTCACATTTTTAATTATATATTTTAATACGCAAAATATAAGAAAAATATATGACATATAAAAAATTTCTTTAATCTAATCTAATAAACACGATTTCATACAAGCACACGCGTACAAGAAATAGATATTTTTTTGTCATTATTTATTGCTAATTGTAACATTGTAATCCATCCATATTGTCATGATTTTTAACAAATGAAAGGTTTTTCTTTTTTTTTTTATTTTTTTATTTTTAATGATAAATAATTAAAATTATATTGACATTAGTTTTACAAGTTAAAATATCTATTGCGTCAGCAAAATTTTTGTGAACATATATGCATAATTCTTGAACATTGAAAATAGCTCAATATTAGCAAAAATTTGTATATCGCTTATTACTAATTATTAATTAGTAACTACATTAGGTATAGACATGGAATAAATGCAATTAATAAATTGACATTTCAACCGAATATACGTATCTTGACTAATCCATTGATTATTGTTAGCATATTATTATTATAAACGCAATTGGTTAAATTTACGATTTTGGTAAAAATATATCCCAAGAGGTCTCGATTAATATATAATAATAATTAAAAGAAGAAGAAAAAAGAAAAAACAATACTTACCGCGATAAAACGACCATTGGAAAAGCGAATTATTATTATGCATGACCATAACATACGTGACAATATACAGTAAATTTTATTACACATGCACCCATAAGAATAAATAAATAAATAAATCAATGCTTTACAAAAAATTTTAATCGGATTGATTTTCAAAGTATTGATAATGATTAAATGGCACATAAGAGGGCGAATATTTTAAGCCTCTAAAGCATTCATAAATCAGCGGAATAATGATAATAGAGACACAATATTGTAAATGAACATCCACAGGGAAGTATTAAAATATCATATCATATCGTTATTAGAGAATATAAAAATATGTAAGATCGTTCGTTTAAAAAGTACGAGGAATAATTGGAATCAAGTTTCTCGCAATAATCACAAAATATCAACAAATAAAAGCCAAAAATAAATAATACCACTACCACCACCGCCGCCAACAACAACAACATCAACAACAACAAAAATATAATAATAATAATAGTAACAATGATAATGGCAATAAAAATAACAACATCAACAGTGATGATGATGATGATGATGATGATGATGATGCTGATGATGATGATGACGATGATGATGATGATGATGATGACGATGATGATGATGATGATGATGACGACGACGATCATAGTAGTAATAATAATAATAATGGCAGTGGTAATGGAATAAGGGAGCCGGGTACACGAGGAAATCGTCGGAATGATTATTAACGAATAGATACGCGTCTATTGCGATAGGAGGGGTGGGGGATTTGGGGGGGGGGGGGGGGGCGAAAATCAATTATATCATTTTTAACCGATCGACTTTCTTATTTTTAGAGCAGGTGATGCGTCTTTACATAAGGGTGGCATATACGATTAATGTTTAAAAAAAACTGACCTAATTGCGTTTGAGAAGAGTTACACAACTCGTCGTGAGTTACGGCAGAAGAAGGCGGACAACACCGTCTTCGGCTCCTTGGATAAATATTCTCAGCCGGAAGCCGAATTTGCCAGCTGGTAGCACGGCATCCACGAGCGATCGATGTCAGGTTATGTTATCGTCAACATTGAGCGAAGCTGGCAGAGGGCTGGGGGAAGTCGAGCGAGGTGGCTAGGTGCACCAATGGCCTACCTCATCCGCAATTTTCCAGGCGGCCAAAGCTGCCAACGGTGTGATTAGGCTTTCGGTGGAGTCGCGGAAGCGGCGGCGGCAAAAGTCTCTCGGTACATAAAACTCGTAACCCGCCGACGAGGCCAGTAACGTAATTACGATGGATGGAGGAAGCGCGTGCCTCGTCATTTCATTGGGACGTCGTGCGACACCCTCGTCCCTCTTGGTCGCGCATCGAGCGGCGAGTCGCGACGGCAGCGCGAGAAAGTGCCCCCTTTGTCCTCCCGGTAGCGAGAACTTGGACGACGCGAGCGCGCGCAACTTAACGAAGGGGGCGGCTGTGGCGGCAGCAGTGTCTCCCCGAGCTTCTTTGCACCATCACCGTAACTCTGTCAGCCTGCCACCCGGGGACCTTGGGACGTGGACGATGCGCAGACGAGGCGGCACCAACGCTCCTGCGCGAGACGCGAAACGGCGCGCGCATCGGCCGAGCAGACCTTTTCAGCCGGTAATCAGCAGCTAGCGGCTGCTACCTCTCTCGCTCGACGAATAATATTCTCTTCCCCGCGGCCGCCTCCTTGCGCCATCATCAGAGACTTACCGACGCCTTGCGTGCTGGTGTGTCACTCGGTAAGAAGGGTTTCACACGCTCGTCCCCGGCCCTTTTTCCATTCAACGATCACCCGACATAAATATACTTCGCCTAAGGATTATCGTTTAGCCATTTAACTCGCTACCATTTAATGGCTATCAAGGCTTTTCGGTTGGGCCCTTACCGATTTTCGCACGTCACGAGTCCCGATCCTCCTCCCTCCCCATCCTACCGCTCTCCCACCGTAAGCTTTCGATCCCATTGGCGCGCCAAAATTTTAAATCCAATAAACGCCCTTTCCTTATGTAATCGATCAATGACGCATTGTTCGTTTAAATCATTTGGATTTTTATGAATGTTACGTACATTTTTTTAATATATGGCAATCGATAACAATATAAGTATGATTAATAATGCAGTTAATAGCTGATTATTGAAACAAAAAATGGTTATCTTTCAAAATTGGATAGCTGAGTGTTTTATTGTTTATGTATATTCCGTAAGTAAGTGCAATTAATTTAAGTATTCCAAGTATTCGGTCGCGCATTGTTGATTGATTTATAATTATAAATTATAAAGGCAAAAATTAATCAATTTGTGCTTCATTTTCTTTTCCTTCTTCGTTTAATTTTTCGTTTAATTTATCGTTTAATTTTAGTCGCATTAATTCTTCGTCGTAATTCTTATTTACTTAAAATTCATTAGGCACTTAAAAATTATCGGCTATATTTTCAAATATCGTATGTAATAAAGTTGCAATAATAATAATAATAATAATAATAATAATAATAATAATAATAATAATAAATACAATACAATAAGCTATCTCATAAAGACATATTCTCATAAGTAACATTTCATTCTTTCTTATTTTTTTACCTGTGTCAATAAAATATAATATTACTTAAAAAATGAAATATTTATGTATTAAATACTTTTCGTGTATAAACTTATTTTTATTCGTGATTATTTATTTTTTTAAATTAACACTGTGATTGCTCTTTCGGCAGGTTCCATGAAATGCAATTATAATAGCTGTTGGTGGTTTTTGCTTTTAATTGTAATTCTTTTAAGCTAATAAATAAATCGGTAAAAATAATCGATTTACAATTATACTTTAAAATTTTTAAACTGCTAAGAGGTTACTTTTATATCATATTGATTTATAAATTTTTTGCCGTATTTTGATATTCTTCGTAGTATATTGCAATTATTACTACTGATTACATTAACAAAAAAAAAAAAAAAAAAAAAAAAAAAAAAAAAAAATGAATAGACAAATTAATAAAGAAAGAAAGAAACAAAAAGTAATAATACTTGTACCGTACATGAGCATTTTCAAAGTTTCTAGTTTCAATTAGTTTTTATATATATATAAAGATTATTAATTGAGATAATTAATTGTTTTGTAATTCGACGTTGAAAAACTTATCGGTAAAATAGATATACAACATATCCGGTTAATGGTAAAACGTAAAATTAGTAGCTGATCATCGAGGTTTTCAAAAGACAAAAGTTTTTTTCTAAAAATGAATTTACAAATATATTAATTAAATTTTGAACTTAATAACAGACAGATATTTAATTAAGAAACAATATATGGTACTTTTATAATAAAATAATATAATAATATAATATGACTATATTAATAGATAATATAACACAATTTCTATTATATCTTTACAGAATTAAAAATATTTTACAATTTTTATTAAACTATATGTTGTTTTTTTTCTTTTTTTTTTTTTTAAAGCTTTCTAATTGCAAATGATACTTTGAAAAAAGCACGCTATTTCATTATAATATATATTTAAACATCGTATAATTGATTATGTAATTATTGATAAGTCTATATAAATTGACGACAGTTTATTAATGATGTATATGAGGGTTTAGCATACAAAAAAGCTTTGGTTCAATCTTATTGTTCAAAACAAATAGCTTGAGTCATCATCCGACGTGCCAACATGAATAAATGGCCACTGATAGTCTCAAAATCATTCTTTCCTCCTCCATTCTTCGTCCGCTCGGGCCTTATTGATATCTGGATATAGCTTTATAATGCCGAGATTTGCATGTATTTTAACTTCTTACATATCGCTGATTAAAATCTTAGATAGGTAATTAAAAAAAATTCTATGCCATAAGATGAACTGTGAGACACTGAGCTATTTGTAATGACTTTGTTTTTTTTTTCTCGGTTTTAACAATAATTTTATTTATTATATAAATTAATTACTATTATTTAGTTAATTTAAAATTCTTTATCGGTCCTTTTGGTGTTTACAATGACTTAGCTGAAAGAAAATGAATTTTTTGCACAAATTTCTTATTCTCTAAATAGTATTAGCCGATTAGTATTTGCCTCGTAAATACTAATGATTTATAATATATGTATATACACCTATAAATGTTTAAAATTCTTTTTGCGTTTTCACCTGTAAATACATTTTTTGTATTGTTATCGTGTATACTATTAAGATTATCGTTGTTTTAAATAAAGCAAAAATATTGTTTTTTATATCATTGTATGTATTTACAATTTCATTTATAAAAAATCTTATAAAGACTGTTTAAGGTAATCAATCTTAATCAATCAACATATATTTAATAATTATTGGGAAAAATTTGTAATTGGACATCCGTGTATGTACAATTCAAATATAAAATTGTATGTATGTTTATTTAATGGGCAATTAAATTTGGACGTATGTTTATTTATGTATACAACATTATTATAACATTAACATAATGAGCGATTAAAATGCATAACTGTTCTTTAATGCCGAATGGCAGTTTTTTAATGTTTCTTTTAAAAGATTGTGCATCTCATACTGTTAATGTTCATTCGTATTTTCAATTCGAATTCAAGTTTTGATTAAAATTACGTGAATTATAAGGAAGTAAGCTTGAATATAACGAAAAGAAAAGCAAGCCAGTCTATCTGTCGAGTATGTAGAAAGTATCCTCGGAAGCTTGGCGAGACATCAAAGAATAATCCGTATGTGCAAATGTATTTATATACTCCTTAAGCATAAGCTTATCTCTTGTTACTTCTTGGCTAAAACAATTGTGTACTGTTGGTTATTTTTCCTTACAGGCACGATAAAAAATTACATTATAAGAAACCGATGTTGAATGGAACGTCTTCTAATTTGTTGCCTATAAAATATATACAAGTTAGGTATACATTTTTTAAATTTACAAACGTATACGTGACTTTAAAATGAAGTCTACAAGTCTTAAAGACAGATGTACGAGCACCGATATTTCGACTCTTTGCATGTGCTATGGTTAAAAGGGGATGGATTCTTAAATTTTAATTTCTATTCTTATTGAAATATACACAAGACAGAATATTCGTATTTCATTTTTTATTTTTTTCTTATATAAAGATTGAGAGAAAACGCTTCAAAGCTTACCCGATTATTTAAATTCTGCTGAAAACTTTGGTAGTGCTAATATAGAATTGCGCAAACTTTTAATGATGTAGTTGACATTTCCAAGTGGAAGATATTTCCATTATTGTACTAAGCGTATGAAGAAATAGTTTTACAGTTGTTAAAAGGAAAAAGAAAAAAAAAAGAAAAAAAAAAGAAAACAGAAAACAGACACTAAAATTCAAGTTTAAAAAGTACATTCGTTTAATTCCATTTGCTCCAGTAATATGTTATTAATTCTTTTAAATATATATTTATTTTTAATTATTTGCATGTTCGTAAATATGTAAAGTTAACTGTAATATTAACATTAATAATGATTATCCCATCATTTATAAATGTAATCAAATGACAAATTCTAACGACTGGGATATCTTATTGTTTCACTTATTTTTTTTTCTACTTTTAAATAATAATACTATCGAATTGACTTAATTATTATTTGGATCAGTTAATTTTTTTTTTTTTTTTTTTTAATAGTTCTTAATAAAATTCTACTAATTGGCATTTAATGCTTGTAAATTTACATAAAAAATTTTATTTAAAGTTTATACGATTATAAAAAAATCTATTATTTTTAACTTTGTTATTAATAATATTTTTATGTATCAATTAAGTTACTATAATTAGTTTATAGATTTTTCTAATTTTAATTTTATAAGTTATTTATTCTTATTATTTAATAAAATAATTGATAATAATTATCATAAAAATGATAATAATGAAAATCTAAACTATATATATGTATTATATTATTATATTATTAATTATTACATTATTGTTAATTTAATCTATCTCATGAAAATACTTAAAACCTCATTGTCAACCGAGCCTTTATTAATTTCTATTAAAATATGTAAAGATTGTTCGAATCTTTTATGAATATTCTTATTCAAATATTACATAAATATGTAATTTATTGTTGCTTATTCATTATAACATATTCCGTTTATTTTAATGCGCAGAATTTCTCATAATACCTTAATATTGCCTTAATGCATTTCAATCTATCCGAATGTAATTACCTACGTGAATCAACAATTTTATATATATAAATATTTTTTATATTTCCTGGGAATCGAATTCCAAGAATCAGTCAAGTTTGGTCGACGAGTAGTATATTTTTTGTGGGCATTTAGTGATCGGTTGATGATGCATAGTGATTTACCCGATAATTCTTATTTATCCATCAAATGTACTAAATCAATTCGTGTTAAGTTCATTGTGCAATTGTATAAATTTATATTATTATTTCCAATTAAAATATATTCTTGATTTAGCTAATCATTCGGTAAGCTAATAAAAGCTCCAAAGATTCAACTAATTCAAATGGTTCGTTTTTTTACAGTTACTATACAGTTCTAG